AGAACATGTGGGGGGAAGCTGTGTTGTCAGAAAATTACCTTTTAAATAAGGTTCCCCGTAAAAAGTTAGACAAAAGCCCATATGAATTATGGCATGGAAGACCACCATCCTACAAATACTTGCGAGTCTGGGGGTGTCTGGCAAATGTAGCAATACCTACGTCAAAGAAAATAAAGATTGGACCAAAAACTATTAATTGTGTATTTATTGGATATGCACACAACAGTAGTGCTTATCGGTTTCTTGTACATGAATCCAAAATTGAGAAAATTCATAAGAACATGGTACTTGAATCTAGAAATGCTTCATTTTTTGAGCATATATTTTCACGTAAGTCTGAAGTGGATTCTAGTTCCACTAAAAGAAATTTGGAAATAATGAAAAAAGATCAAGATGGATATGTTGAGGTAGAACCTCGGAAAAGTAAAAGAGGTAGGATAGAAAAATCTTTTGGTCCAGATTTTCTAACCTATATGGTTGAAAGCGAACCACAAACGTTTTCAGAAGCTGTAAATTCTTCTGAAGGACCTCTTTGGAAAGAGGCAATCCAAAGTGAAATTGATTCCCTTTTGCAAAATCACACATGGGAGCTAGTGGATCTTCCTCCTGGAAGTAAACCATTCGGCTACAGATGGATTTTCAAAAGGAAAATAAAATCTGATGGAACAATTGATAAGTATAATGCTAGACTTGTAATTAAAGGTTATAAGCAAAAAAAAGGCCTTGATTACTTTGATACATATTCTCCAGTGACGAGGATAACATCCATCAGGGTGATTATTGCAATTGCAGCTTTACGAAATCTTGAAATACATCAAATGGATGCAAAAACAACTTTTCTAAATAGAGATTTAGAAGAAGAGATTTATATGGAGCAACTTGAAAGATTCTCTGCTCCAGGGCAAGAAAATAAAGTTTGCAAATTGGTTAAGTCTTTGTATGGCTTAAAACAAGCTCCAAAACAATGGCATGAAAAGTTTTATAATGTCATGATTGAATGTGGATTTAAAATTAATGAATGTGATAAATGTGTTTATGTTAAAGACACGGAAAAGGGTTATGTAATCCTATGTCTTTACGTAGATGACATGCTCATTGTTGGAAGAAATGATAAAATTATTAAATCCACAAAAGATATGTTAAATTCAAGATTTTACATGAAAGATATGTGTCTAGCTGATGTGATTCTTGGAATTAAAATTCATAGAACATCACAAGGAATTGTTTTGAGTCAAACACATTATGTGGAGAAAATCCTTGAAAAATTTAATAAGGATGATTTGACTCAGGCTAAGACCCCGATAGATACAAGTCAACATCTGTCGAAAAATAAAGGAGAAAGTGTTTCTCAAGTTGAATATTCAAGGGTGTTAGGGAGTCTGATGTATCTACTGAATTGTACTAGACCAGACATCGCCTTCCGTGAGTAAACTGAGTAGATATACAAGTATTCCAGGAAATGAACACTGGAAAGGAATTGTGAGATTACTCAGATACTTGAGATATACTTGTAAATATGGTCTACACTACTGTAAATATCCAGTTGTAATTGAAGGCTATAGTGATGCCAACTGGATATCGGATATGAAAGATTCTAAATCCACTAGTGGATATTTATTCACTTTGGGAGGTGCAGCCATATCATGGAAATCTTCTAAGCAGACTGTTATTGCCAGATCCACAATGGAGTCCGAATTTTTAGCATTGGACAAAAGTGGAGAAGAGGCAGAGTGGCTTCGCATTTCTTAGAAGATATTCCAAAATGGTCAAAGCCAGTGCCAGCCATTTGTATACATTGTGATAGTCAATCGGCTATAGGCAGGGCACAAAGTAATATGTATAATGGTAAGTCAAGACATATTCGTCGAAGACATAATACCATTAGACAACTACTCTCAACTGGTACTATATCTATTGACTATTAGAAACGGGGGAAGAGAGTGCGGTCCCACCAGATGAAGGCGCACCATAAGAGGGTGAGCCTAGATGCACCTTAGTGAGGTTCCATCCCAAAACCAATTGGTGAAAGGAGGAGAGGCCCACTAGACTTATAAGGTGAGCCTATTTTCCATGTATTAACAATGTGGGACAACTCACAAGTGATATTCTAACACGCCCCCTCACTTGTGAGTCTGATATCATGTCTCTAACCCAGGCACAAAGTGGGCTCTGATATCATGTCTCTAACCTAGACACAAAGTCGGTCGGGCTCTGATATCATGTCTCTAACCCAGACACAGTGGGCTCTGATACCATGTAAGAAACTGGGGGAAATAGAAAGCCCATATGAAGCCCAAATGAGGTTCCATCCCAAAACCAATTGGTGGAAGGAGGAGTAGCGCATTAGACTTATAAGGTGGGTCTATTTTCTATGTGTGAACGATGTGGGACAACTCACAAGTGATATTCTAACACACCCCCTCACTTGTGAGTCCTGATATCATGTCTCTAACCCAGGCACAAAGTGGGCTCTGATATCATGTCTCTAACCCAGACACAAAGTTGGTTGCTAAATTTGTGAGAGGAATGAGACTTAAGCCTCTAGAAATGAGTTGATATATATGTGAAGTCAAAAGATAATATTGCAGATCCGCTAACCAAAGGGTTAAATAGAGAGTTGGTTGCTAAATTTGTGAGAGGAATGAGACTTAAGCCTCTAGAAATGAGTTGATATAATGGAAACCCTACCTTGTTGACTGGAGATCCCAAGATCTTGGTTCAAAGGGACAACCTAATTGTAAAAAGACTCTTGTGATCACTGTAGGATTTTATCCAATGTCCATTCCTTAAACAGTGATACCCGTGGTGAGTAGAATAAGCATTTGGCTTTTAATGATTCTTGTATGGGAAGGTAGTACAAGCTACTTATAATTATGAATCACCTATGTGAGAGAGAAGTGGAGCCGCTTTGAAGAGAATTGTGTAAGACTCAATTCTTAGACCCTCTCACAGAACCAGGCTATGTCCAGGGCCACTAATGGACATAATAAGGAGAACTGGAATATGTTAGGGAGAATCCTGTGTGAAGTATATTCATCGTTTACACAAAAGGCAGAACAGTTCAAAGACATCTCTACTGGTCAGCTAGTAAAGTTAATGTGTTTTCACAATGGAAGGTTCAAAGGGTAACACCTACCTATCCTATGCAGGTTTCAACTGTTGGACCATAACATTATTTTTTAATTTCATTCGGGGGATTGTTGGAAAATTAATGAATGAATTTGTAACATAATGGTTAAAGCATTTATTTGAAACCGTGTGTCTTCAATTTGAAAACTTGTAACTTAGTTACATTAAACTTAGCTTTATCAAGTGTGTAATGAATTGTTTAATTAATGAAGTGTCTCATCTTATGCCTATATAAGGCTTGTTTTGTTTTGAAGAAAAAACACACGAAACAAAATACAATTTTCAAAGTCTTGTTCCCTCATTTTTTTCTTTAAGTGCTTTGGACCAGACATAATTCCAGTTCGCCGAATTTGTTTCTGTTTTTTCTGTTGTATCCTGGGAAACAGACGCTCAGACGGGGCGAATCTGTTTTAAAGACACTGTGTTCTCACATGCCTCGGTATTTGTTATATATAGCCATCTTATTTTTAATTTCCCGTTAAAGTTCCCTATAAATTGTAATTGAATTTTGTTACATTAACAATTTAAATAAAAAATTATACAATAATATGTATCGTATTTGTAATTGAATTGTTACATTTTTTTTTTGGTGCAGATTGAATTGTTACATTAACTACTTTTAACTGACATTTCAGATTTCATAAAAAAAAAAAAAAAATTAAATGCAGAATTTATCATATACGAATGATAATTATTATATAAATATTATAAACGATATTCTTATATATACTTTGAGTATTATCACAATAATTATTATAATAATAATAATAGAAGTATCACCAAAATAGAAAACAATATGATTCAAATTGAACAATATAAATTTTATATAGTATATATATTAACATTTTATGACTATTATCATATTAATTATATTAGTAATATAATAATATACATGTACAATTTGGATTATTTCATCTAATAATTTTTTTTTGGTACAGGAACCTTCCGGTTCCGAATTCACAGGGGAATCGACTAATCCAGAATCGAGCCGGGTAAGATCACAAGGGCGGCAAAGCCCTCCCACAAGAGATGATTTGATACTTATATGCATGAGTTGTTGTTTGTTAGTATGGACTGGGGGAAGGGGAGAAGTAAAGGCTAGTGCTTTATCCATTCACCATAGAGACGTTCCACTAGACAACCATTAGCATTGTTTGAAATCCTTTTAACACATCCATATGCCCCAAGCATCCGCAGTAGAAGCAGAAATTGACTAACATTTCATACTTTAGAATTTAAATTTGCTTGTTTTAGTACCACAATTTTTCATTGAGAGTACATTCTTTTTATTTATTTTTTTTGGTACAGGGACCTTCCGGTTTCCGAATCCACAGGGGAACCGACTAATCCGGAATCGAGCCGGGTAGAATTACGAACAACTATTCTTTTTTTTTTATTATTAATTACGAAACAACTATTCTCCTTCAAAATTTCATTATAGAATCACTTCGTTTTATACAAGAATTTTTTAAAATATATATATATATATATATATATAATAGATCATGAAGAATTATTTAAAACTGAATAATATATGGGGCTAAGAGTCAATGTGATGTACCAAACTTGTTACACATAAATATGTTCACTCTCTCCTAGTAGGTGATGTACCAAACTTGTTGCACATATTTATCAAAATATTTGCATACATTCTCAAGCAACAAACTATAGAATAGCACTCATTATTTTATCCTTTGAATTGCTTTGGTTACACTTCCAAAGAATAGAGAAACAATACAATCACTCACTCACAATTACCATGCCTAACTTATCTCTTTCCCTTCCTTTTTCTCTTTGTGAAAAGAACAAGTACAAAGACTTTTTTTTTTTTTTCCCCACTCAAACAAAAATAAAAATAAAAATAAAAATATTCAAACCCTCAAGTTTAAAGAATGTTTCAAATCCCCCACATGAATGATATGCTCCCCCAATGCAACTTTCTTGATTCCCATCTCATCCACCACACTCAAATCCTTACAAACATCCAAACTAAACCTCACAAGCCCTTCTCCTCTTGGTGCCAAATTCACCTTTTGAAACCCCAACAAATGCTTTTGAGGTGCATTGTGCACTTGTGGTGGACTAAAGAACAACAGCACTGTATGGCTCCCACCCATTCCCCCCACATTCTTCACCCTCAAATGAATGTCTATTGCCAAATTGTTGCAGCTTCGCTCGACGGCGTCAATGGATTTACACGCCGACAAACGGCATTCGTGCCCTTCTTCCAAGGGGACATTCACCGTTTTCGGTGCCTTAGCTAGGTGATGGTTGAACTGGGTGTAGCTAAGTCCATCCCCAAACGAGAAAATCGTGGGTCCTTTGTAGAAACGATACGTTCGCCCTGGGTTGCCTGTGGCCGGGTTCGGCCTCATTCCCATGTCCGTCATGTTCACTTTCTCCGCGTATGATTGTGGGTACCAAGTCATCGGCAGCCGTCCACCTGTATATTATCATGTCCAAGTCGAGATGAAACTACAATTATGCTAATTGCTATAAAAAAAAAAAAA